CATGGACTTTACAGTGTCCCAAAACCTTTTTGGAGTTAGTGCTACAGGATGCAAATTTCTGTTTGAAAAAGCTAGCCTTTGCTTTCCTAACTGATTGTGTATATTGGTTCCTGACTGAAAAGTTGCATATCGCGGGGGCTTTGATGCTAATGCAGTACGCCACAGGATGTTTTTGTGCTGGTCAAGGGCAGTCAAGTCTGGGGTGAACCAGGGGCTATATCTGTTCTTAGTTCTGAATTTTTTGAATGGGGAATGCTTATTTAAGATGGAGAGGAAATAACTTTTAAAGAACAACCTGGCATCCTCTACTGACAGAATGAGGTCAGTGCAATGCTCGTTAGTGGCCAACAACTTGACTTTGAGCCAATCAGAGAACACAAACCATGTGACACTAGGAATGACAACAAAATGGAAAAAATAGGGAATTTTCTCCGTACATCCACGGATGAGCCAGTCACACTTCAAATGCAATGTAGGCTATGGGATGGTAGCTAGCTAAGTGCACAGACGCAGTGCACACAACAATAAATACTTCCTCCAAGTTAGCTAACAACTGTAGATAGTATAGACATTATAATAAAATCACAACGAATTAGCTAGTTTCCATGAAACAGCTACCTGTGTTAGCTGCAGAGTTAGTGCAGTGTCCTTAGCTAGCTAGCTACTAGCAATGTTGTGCTACCTAGCGAATATGCTAAAATTAGCTAGCTAGCTAAGCATTTGGCAATGGGCTGGCTCTGGCAGTATGGGACTATGGAGAGTGATTTCAATTGTTTCTTCATCATCTTGCTAGGTAGTTATCTAGCTGTGTCCATCTGGCTAGCTAGCTAGCTAACATTGGAATCTAGACCATAAGCAACACACACAGACATGCATTGCCAAACATCACTACTGCCACCTTCTGATTTGGAGTATTTTATCAAGGCTGAGTGGCTGACGACTTCAAGGTCTTTGCTGTGTGAACACTAAAGAGATTGACTGCCGACACTCTGGTCAGAGGTGCTAAGTACTGTCGGCAGGCAAAAAAATTTTACAATCCTACCGGTGTGTCTGAGCTTTAAAAGGTACTGACCTTAGTGTCTCCAGTTTACAGTGTGGACTCTCCAGTCCAGCAGAGAAGAGCTCCACTCCTGAATCCTGCAGGTCATTGTCACTCAGGTCCAGCTCTCTCTGTGAGTAGCTTGAGCTGAGAGTGGAGGCCAGTACTTCACAGCATTTCTCTGTGAGATTACATCCATTCAACCTATAAAACATGAACAAAGGATTAATAAACAATGTATATGTAGGTTTTAAAAGCATAATTCATTTGTTAAAGATATCAGATACCAGATACTTTGACCACTGGCATCAGCCTCAGAAGACCCTCGTCAGATCTGCAATATTTCTTTAGGTCAAAGACATCCAGCTCCTCCTCTGAAGTCAGCAACACAAAGACCAGAGCTGACCACTGAAGGTGACAGTTTGGCTTCTGAGAGACTTCCTGAGCTGAGGTAGCTTTGGATCTCCTCAACTAGAGAATGGTAATTCAGCTCATTCAGACAATGAAACAGATTGATGCACCTCTCCGGAGAAGGATTCTTGCTGATTTTCTCCTTGATGTATTGAACTGGTTCCTCATTGGTCTGTGAGCGGTTTATTGTTTTTGTCAGTAGGCCTTGAAGGAGAGTCTGATTGGACTCCAATGAGAGGCTGAGAAGGAAGCGGAGGAACAGGTCCAGGTGTTTGCTTTCATTTTGTAAGGCCTTATCCACAGCACTCTTTTGGAGGGTGGTTGCAAGTGAGACTTCGGCCATTTTGAGTTTTTTGGGGGTGGTTTCCTGGTCGGCCATTAGATTGAAATTCTCGTTGTTGAACGTGTGAAACACATACAGTATAAAGGAGCTAGGAACTCCTGAATGCTCAAATGCACAAAGCAGTACACCTTACCATGGTACAGCCCACACTCCTCTCTAAAGATCTGTGTGCACACTCCTGAGTACACTGACGCTTCTTTGACATCAATACCACACTCCCTTAGGTCTTCCTCATAGAAGATCAGATTGCCTTTTTCTAGCTGTTCAAAGGCCAGCTTCCCCAGTTTCAGAATCATCTTATCTGTTTTCACCTGTGAACCTGGCACAGCTCTCTGCTCCACTTGGATATTTCAGATTTTTGACCAGAAGGTTAAAGATCAGCAAGTGTTTGTACATTTGAGTCAGAGTCTTGGGCATCACGCCACTCTCTGCTGCTTCACCCATTATTCTCTCCAGAACAGTGACTGAAATCCAACTGAACACTGGTATGTGGCACATAATGTAGAGACTTCTTGATAACTTAATGTGTGTGATAATTCGGCAATCCATGTTCTGATCACTGATTATTTTATTGAAGTACTCCTCCTTCTGTGGGTCATTGAACCCTCGTATCTCTGTCACCCTGTCAACACACTCAGGGGAGATGCGGTTGGCTGCTGCAGGAGAGCAGAGGGAAGCAGATTCCCCTTGTTGAAGTTTGTCAGCAGCACATCCACTGAGGTTGACTCAGCAGCATCACTCCAGCTTTCATTGTTCTGAAAGTCTAGAGGAAGTTGACACTCATCCAGACCGTCAAAGACAAACAAAACTGTGTACTTCTCAAAGTCTGAGATCCCCGACTCTTTGGTTTCGATGAAAAAGTGATTAAGAAATTCCATGAAACTGTGTTTTTTCCCCTTCATCAAATTCAGCTCACAACTGGACATCATGATTGGCTTTTCCTTCAGCCCAGTCCAGAATATACTTCTGCACCGAGACTGTCTTTCCAATGCCAGCGACTCCTTTTGTCAGCACAGTTTGAAAAGGTATGTCTTCATCAGGTAAGGTTTCAGAGATATCATTGCATTTGATTGATCTCTCTTGTGTTACTGGTCTCCTGGATGCTGTCTCAATCAGTCTCACCTCATGTTCAGTGTTGACCTCTTGCGTTGGCACAAAGCAAGCTCGCCTAAATGACCTGATAAAGCATAATACAGTATTGTCGATGTGATCATGACTTTAATTTAATTATGAAAACATTTCAAGCTGGAACAAATTGTAATCAGCGACAAAGTGTGACCTATATTAGCTTTAGTGAAATCAGAGAACCAGATATTAACCCAGATATTTCTGTTTGTTTTACCACCCAGTAAATATGTTGAAGAATCTCTGTGTCACTACCCTGTGGATATACATGAGGCTTCAAAGACTAAAGACAGATAACTTACATTAGTGTGTCAGCAAGCTCCCTCTGGTTCATGTTCCTCAACACATGCAGTGCGATCTTCAGAGCCCTCTCTCTGTCACTGTTCTCCTGCTTTTCATCTTCAGTGTCCAGTACTCCCTCATCCTCTCTCTGACTCTCACAAATTCTGTTGAATCTGGATTTAGAAACCTCTTGAACCTTTTCAATTCACTCTTCACAAAAGTGATGATGTTGTCCTCCAGTAACTGATGTACAGTATAGAAAAATAAGAAAATAAGAAACATCAAGTCATATGCACAGCTATTACATTATACATCCTGTGTTTGTTATGAGTATCTGGTACTGATATCTTTAACACTATCACGGAAGAGCCAGCTCACCGTGAATACGGAGGACAGGTCCATTTTTCAACTTGTCAGGCTGACCATTGAAAATCTCTGACTCTGGTCCCTCCTGCTTGTCTCTGTGGACAAAACAAGAGATTATTCTGTGATTTACCCTCCTGCGCCTGACTCCTTCATCACCACCTCATTGCAGAATAACAGGCTTTAATCCGCAAAATACAGGTTTACGCAGAAATGCGTCAAACACACTTCAGGGCACAAAACAGGCGCACTGGAAAATACAAGGCACACAGGAAAAATACTCCCGTCGATACACAATACACGAACTCCACCGAGCTTCACCAACCTCCACAATAAACAATCACCCACACAGACAAGGAAGCAGAGGGAACACTTATACCATGACTAATGAGGGAATAAGGACCAGGTGTGTGTGATTGAAGACAAGACAAATGGAGTGATGATAAATGGATCGGCAGTAGCTAGTAAGCCGGTGACGCCGAACGCCGAAACCTGCCCGAACAAGGAGGGAGGCAGCCTCGGCGGAAGTCGTGACACAGTAGCTTACAGGTAATTATTTACACGAGGAGAAAACAGAAGGCATATGTTATTACCTTTCTTCAATAGTAAATTATTCTTTCCTGAAGTTATATGGAGGATCCATTGACACATCACTCTTCATGGACACACAGCTGGGTACAGGTGATTCTGGTCTTGACAGCTGGACACTCATGAAATACGAGATAAAGATCATTTTCAGTGATGCTCCTAGCTAGGTCTGCAGGATATGAGTTTTGAATTGTAAAGATGTGTAAGGAAGAGAGGGATAGCATAATAATATTTAAGAAAGAAGTGGGAGGATAAATCACATTTTACTTGTCACATGCTTTGTAAACAACAGGTATAGACTAACAGTAAAATGCTTACCAACAATGCAGAGAGAATTTTTTTTAAATAACTTGAGGAATAACTACATAATGAGTAACGATACCTTTGCCATATACTGTACATAGGGTACAAGTAACGAATCAATGTGCAGGGGTACGAGGGAATTGAGGTAGATATGTACATATAGGTAGGGGTAAAGTGACTAGGCAACGGGATAGATAATAAACAGTAGCAGCAGCGTATGTGATGAGTCAAAGGAGTTAGCGCAAAGAGGGTCAATGCAGATAGTCTGGGTACCTATTTGGTTAACTATTTAGTAGTCTTATGGCTTGGGGGTAGAAGCTGTTCAGGGTCCTGTTGGTTCCAGACTTGGTGCATCGGTACCGCTTGCTGTGCGGTAGCAGAGAGAACATTCTGTGTCTTTGACAATTTTTTGGGCGGTGTAAGTAAGGTGTAGTTCACTCAATGTATAGTCTACCAAGGGCCAAATTCAATCAAACCTTCTAATGTTTTCAAACAAATGTCGGTATACATGTGTCCCGTGTAAATCAGTCTCAAGAGGTCTTACCTTTTGCCAACGGAAGAGTATTCCTTCCTGAACTCTTTTGGATGTCCCATTGACCAGTCAATCTTCATGGACACACAGCTGAGTGCATGGGTGTCTGGTCTCTCCTGCTGGACCCTATCAAAAGGAAAGAGTGACTAAAGCACATAAAATGTACTGTAGCTGATTTTCTGTAAACTTCACAATGTTCTATGCAGATAGGAAGGCAGGAAAGTACAAATCACGCAGACTTTGATCAGTGGAAACCTCTCCTCGTCTAAAGTTGTATGGAGGATCCATTGACATGCCACTTTTCATGGACACACAGCTGTGAACAGGTGAATCTGCTCTCTCCTGCTTGATTGGGCTTGATTGGAAAACAGAGGCAGACCTTCAATCTCTCATCTATTCTAATGATGATGAAGTGATGGTATTACAAACACTTACGCAATAACACTTAACACTCACACAATAACACTTGTACATACACACAGAACCACACAATTTCAGTCTAGCAACATTGTCAGGGTCAAGTTCCTCAGAGTGCCTCCTTTTAGAAGCAGTGTGCTCCTCATCTCCCTCCCTCCCCTCTCTCTCTCCCCAGAGAAACTCATTTTAGAGGCAGTGTGCATTTGTCTTTCCCCAGAGACTCTTACAATGATAACATTCATGTTGATGCAAAACAGACAATAGTCTTTACACAAAAAATATCAGACACCACTTCTGTATGAGACCAAATATCCAGTATTTTAAACAAACAGTTTTTTCAGACCCATATAATATACAGTACCTTCGGAAATTATAATTTTTACACATTTTGTTATGTTACAGCCTTATTCTAAAATGTATTAAATAGTTTTTACACACAATACCCCACATTTTTGCTAATTTATTTAAAATAAAAAACTGAAATATCACATTTACATAAGTATTCAGACACTTTACTCAGTACTTTGTTGAAGCACCTTTGGCAGCAATTACAGCATCGAATCTTCTTGGGTATGACACTACAAGCTTGGCACACCTGTATTTGGGGAGTTTCTCCCATTCTTCTCTGTAGATCCTTTCAAGCTCTGTCAGGTTGGATGGGGAGCGTTGCTGCACAGCTATTCTCAGGTCTCTCCAGAGATGTTAGATTGGGTTCAAGTCTCTGGCTGGGCCACTCAAGGACATTCAGAGACTTGTCCCGAAGCCACTCCTGCGCTGTCTTGGCTGTGTGCTTAGGGTCTGTATACAGTGCCTTCAGAAAGTATTCACACCCCTTGACTCTCTCCACATTTTATTTTGTTACAGCCTGAATTTAAAATGTATTACATTGAGATTGTGTGTCACTGGCCTACACAACACAATACCCCATAATGTCTAAGTGGAAATATGTTTTAAGACATTTTTACAAATTAATTAAAAATGAAAAGCTGAAATGTCTTGAGTCAATAAGTATTCAACCCCTTTGTTATGGCAAGTCTAAATAAGTTCAGAGTAAATTTCTGCTTACAAGTTACATAATAAGTTGGATGGACTCACTCTGTGTGCAATAATAGTGTTTAACATGATTTTTGAATGGCTACCTCATCTCTGTAACCCACACATACAATTATCTGTAAGGTCCCTCAGTCGAGCAGTGAATTTCAAACACAGATTCAACCAAAAAAGACCAGGGAGGTGTTCCATTGCCTCCCAAAGAAGGGCACCTATTGGTAGATGGGTAAAAATAAAAGCAGACACTGAATATCCCTTGGATGGTGTATCAATACACCCAGTCACTACAAAGATACAGGCGTCTTTCCTTACTCAGGGAAGGACACCACTCAGGGATTTCACCATGGTGACTGAAACAGTTACATAGTTTAATGACTGTGATAGGAAAAAACTGAGGATGGATCAACAACATTATAGTTACTCCATAGTACTAACCTAATTGAAAGAGTGAAAAGAAGGTAGCCTGTACATAATACAAATATTCCAAAACATGCACCCTGTTTGCAACAAGGCACTAAAGTAATACTGCAAAAAATGTGGCAACGCAATTAATGTTTTGTCCTGAATACAAAGTGTTATGTTTGGGGCAAATCCAATACAACACATTACTGAGTACCACTCTCCATATTTTCAAGCATAGTGGTGGCTGCATCATGTTATGGGTATGCTTGTAATCGTTGCAAAGAAAAAGCCATATCTCAGACTGGCCAATAAAAAGAAAAGATTAAGATGGGTAGTCTGAGATATGGCTTTTTCTTTGCAACTCTGCCTAGAAGGTCAGCATCCCAGAGTCGCCTCTTCACTGTTGATGTTGAGACTGGTGTTTTGCGGGTACTATTTAATGAAGCTACCAGTTGAGGACCTGTGAGGCTCCTGTTTCTCAAACTGTTCTGTGAAGGGAGTAGTACACAGCGTTGTACGAGATCTTCAGTTTCTTGGCAATTTCTCGCATGGAATAGCCTTCATTTCTCAGAACAAGAATAGACTGACGAGTTTCAGAAGAAAGTTATTTGTTTCTGGCCATTTTGAGCCTTTAATCGAACCCACAATTGCTGATGCTCCAGATACTCAACTAGTGTCAAGAAGGCCAGTTCTATTGCTTCTTTAATCAGTACAACAGTTTTCAGCTGTGCTGACATAATTGCAAAAGGGTTTTCTAATGATCAATTAGCCTTTTATAATGATAAACTTGGATTAGCAAACACAATGTGCCATTGGAACACAGGACTGATGGTTGCTGATAATGGGCCTCTGTACGCCTATGTAGATATTCCATAAAGAATTAGCCGTTTCCAGCTACAATAGCCATTTACAACATTAACTATGTCTACACTGTATTTCTGATCAATTTGATGTTATTTTAATGGGCAAAAAATTGCTTTTCTTTCAAAAACAAGGACATTTCTAAGTGACCCCAAACTTTTGAACGGTAGTGTACACCTCCAAATGACTCAAATGATGTAAATTAGTCTATCAGAAGCTTCTAAAGCCATGACATCATTTTCTGGAATTTTCCAAGCTGTTTAAAGGCACAGTCAACTTAGCGTATGTAAACTTCTGACCCACAGGAATTGTGATACAGTGAATTATAAGTGAAATAATCTGTCTGTAAAGAATTGTTGGAAAAATTACTTGTGTAATGCACAAAGTAGATGTCCTAACCGACTTGCCAAAACTATAGTTTGTTAACAAGAAATTTGTGGAGTGGTTGAAAAACAAGTTTTAATTACTCCAACCTAAGTGTATGTAAACTTCCGACTTCAACTGTATGTTGCACCCAAAATACAGTAATTCCGGGACAGTTTTTAGCTTTACACATTTGTAAAAGATTGTGCTGGTTATACAGTATACATTGTTTATTAAAGTTACATGATTGTAAGCTAAGATAATGTGACTTCTCATTCTAAAAATGTCTGTATGGCATAAACTCAGTTTCCCTAATTTTAGGCAGGCAATACAAAGTGTGCTAAATCAATCATTGTTGTTGTTGTTGTTGTTGTTTTTTTTGGGGGGGGGGGGGTAGATCAGCTTAATATTGCAGATAGATTGTAACTTCCATCAATGTAATTGTCTGCATCACTTCCAATCCCCCATGTTTTTTATATATATACTCCCCTTTATTACTTTTCAACCCTGCCATCCATTCACTACTTGGGGTAAATTAGTGAACAACAATGCCCAGGCCTCTACTTCCAGCCTATACTTACTATCTACACCTTATGGTCAATTTTACAATAATTATATTTTATTTGTTTTTGCTCCTGAACTTCTTCTACTCTCAATCTCTCCGATCATTTTCATGATGTCCATCCGGTTTGCTTCTATATGCCATATCTTTCTAACTGTGCTCTTTCCCAAAAGCTCCCAATATACAATGTCTCCTGAGTGGCGCAGTGGTCTAAGGCACTGCATCGCAGTGCTAACTGTGCCACTAGAGATCCTGGTTCGAATCCAGGCTCTGTCGCAGCCAGCCACGACCGGGAGACTCATGGGCGGTGCACAATTGGCCCAGGGTAGGGGAGGGAATGGCCGGCAGGGATGTAGCTCAGTTGATAGAGCATGGCGTTTGCAACGCCAGGGTTGTGGGTTTGATTCCCATGGGGGGCCAGAATAAAAAATATATATATATATATATATTGTATTCACTAACTGTAAGTCGCTCTGGATAAGAACGTCTGCTAAATATGTAAATGTAAATACAACCTATATACTTATTGTGGACACAGTATGCGTACATTATTAGTTCTCTTGTTGTTATTTGTTATTAGTCCCATCCTTCAACTCCATTCAATACCTCCCATCTATCTCTTAACACCATCCATATAGGATTTCTATTTGCCATATATATTTCAACCGTACTATGATGTTTTACAAAAGTTCTGAACCTTTCTATTCTCATTGCTTCTACAGATTGTGAATTAAAAATAAACATTTTTGCTAAAAGTATTATTATATTATTGATCGATTGACTATGACTTTTCAGATCACCCAGTAATGCTATCTGCAAGGTTAGCTCCAAGTAAATATTGCAATCCTTTAGCCATTCCTGGACCTGGGTCCAAAAACAAGGTACAAATGGACAGAACCAAAACAAATGATCTAATGATTCTGTCTCTTCACAGCAAAATCTGCAGAGCTGGGAAGATTGTATCCCCCATATAAATAACATTCTATTGGTAGCAAGAATTTTATATAATAATTTAAATTGAAAGATTCAAATTTTTGAATCCGGTGTTGTTTTGCGTGTCAGTTCATAAACACTATGCCATGGGATCGGTACGTCAAAAATCTCTTCCCAACTATTTTGCAATCTATATGGGACGGCTGTCAATCCTTTGGTACTTAAGTGAAACTGATGTACTTTTTTATTTATCACAGTTTTCCTTAACCAATTATGTTCTTTAATGCAAGGCCGACAGACAAGTTCCTTACTTTCTCCCCCTTCCACTTTCCTCTTCCACTTTTGCGGTAAGGCTGCAATTATTTGGTTGTAATTTTGGGTAGAGCAGACATTTCCATATGTTTTTGTTAGCTGCATGTGCGACTTAACTCCACCAGTCCTACCGATGATATAATTTACGAAGATTATACCTTTTTTAAACATTCTGTCAAAAAATGAAGGTTTTTTGTCAATTAGTATATTTGAATTTAACCACTATATTTGTTGCATTATTTGTTCTGTCGTTTCTGGAGGATTAAATTGAAATTGCAACCAACTTTCTATGGCTTGTTTTAGAAATAGTGATATTTGGGAGATTATTTACTTTTCAAATAACTGAAAATGAGTGGTTGTAATCTGAATAAATCAATCATTGTTTTGCTAGTATTCCAAATTCATATGACATAGTTCATAAACATTGAGGGTACTTACCGTCTTAAAGGTGCACGTACTCCAGACAAATTCTATCTTTCTGTGTTTTGTCCCCTCTACCCTCTGCTGTCAAACAGGAAATGAAGGTTGGTTCTAATATTTTCTCTTTCTTTCACTTTGTCATGACTCAAGTTCAAACCTGCTATTAATGAGATAGAACATATACAGTATTATCAAGTAGCAAAAGTTGTAACAGCAACTTTCCAGAAAACAAAAAGTTGTTCTCTGCTCTCTCTCGACAGTACATCAGTAACAGAGAGATGTAACACGATACTATCACACTGCACAGACAATTATCCAGTGTTAAATCAACACAGTGTT